TTTTTGTATATTGACAACTAATTAACAAAAAAATTGTATCTAAGTTTGTGTTTTAAGACACTATCTAATGATTATGAAGTTCTTCAGATCCGACTTCACAATCATTTTCCTCTGATTCAAATAGTACAACTTTCCTCTTTCTTGTACCTTGTACAATTTTAATGCCTCTAGCTTTGGCATTTTTAATAACTTGTTGAACTGCCATAGGGTCGTTTTTTTTTCTTTGATCTCAGCTCTTCCATGGTTTGTTCTTGTATAAGTTGTTTTGATTTTCCCAAAGACCCTACATTAACCCCAAATTCTTGAGTTAGCCCCATTGAAAAGGATAGTAAAATGTCAACAACATTGACATGCAAAGGACTACCTCTGGTAATCCTCAAAGATGTAGACGATTCGTTCATTGTTTAACGAATTTTAGATCTATCAAGAACAAAAAAATGATTATTTCATCAAAATATATGAAAAAAAAAGAACACATATACAATTTTTAGATAAGTTAGAAAAAAAGGTAAACAACTAAAATTAAGGATAACTTACGAAATTGACTTCAACTTAAGGAGGAGATTTCAACTTCAGGAGGGATTACTGAAATTTTGGACAAAAATTCAAAATTCAAATCTGATATTGGAGTATTAAATGTAGGAGAAGACGTTAGAATGAGGAAAGGAGAGAGAAAATTAATTGTGAATAGGAGAGAGAAAATTAGATTGTGTATAATTATATACAAAATTAGAAAATAAGATTTTTATACAATTGGTTATATAATAGGTCGTGGACCCCCATTAATTATAGCAAAATAAAATAAACTATAATTATATAATGTAAATAAATTAAACTATACCCCTGATATATAATTAGTTATGAATGTTTGCCATTTCATATAATTTTCCCTAAAAAATTTCAATATTTGTTCAATCTAAAACAAAACATAATTACTTATTTATTTAGGGATGGTGGACGGTAATTACTCTTTATTACCCTACCAAAGTTGATGTGGTTATATAATTTATGAAGATTATATGCCCAAACAATCCAGACTCTGATGCCACATGTAAGATTAAATGCTTTAATACATAATATCAGAATTTTGAATATGATAATCTTACATAGAGATCGTTAAGGGTACATACCTGATGAGGAAAATATCATCACAGAGAAAATCGGAAGCTTTAGTTGTAAATTGATTTCTACCTCCTTACTCTAACTTTATGTTAACCACAACCGTCAGTGATGAAATTAATGTAGAGAATATGTGGTAACCTTAATGGGTAGAGGGAGGACCAATTTATAGAGGTCATGATTAATCTGGTACATTCATCAAGTAACCAATGTATGGACAAAATCAATTTCTTATTAAATACTATTTATAATATTACTTGGATTATAAGTAAACTTGGGTCATAAGTGAGAAATAATTAATAATAAATAATAATAATTCTTACAAAGTCCATCAGTCCATTTTGCCAACTATTAAATAAAAAATAATATAAAATTGAAAATAAAAGATTAATCTATCAAACTTTGAATCTAAAATTCTCCAAGCTGGCATCGTTCACACAAATAAAGAAATTGATTAAACTATCACAACAAGTGTTGTTATACCGTCAAATGAAGCAGTGGTAATTTATCAGATCAAGTGGTAGGCATCATTGCAACGAAGCAGTATTAATTTATCAAATGAAACTGATGAAATTATCTATTAATATTTTATTATTATAAATTCATTGAATGAGTGGATAGTCCATAAGGTTGGTACATGAACAACCATCCATATTCACTAGATTCATGAACCGTTTTGGATAAGAATGTATCTATTTATTATGATACTTAATATGGTGACTTTTGGAGTGATTTCTCACTCTATAAATAGGATTGTTCATTCACTAATGTATGATATACAAATGAGACTTACATACACTTGAATAATAAGAAAATTCCCCTTCTTCTATCTACTTCTCTTGTCTTCTTCTCTTTATGATTATATTCTAATGAGCTTGATTTTATAACACGTTATCAGCACGAGTCTCTATCTAATTGAGAGTGAGTTCTTTTTTTTCTTTAGCTCATATTTTGGTTGATCTCGTTATGACGATGAAAGTATATATGCATAAAATCAGGTATGTATTTTCTAAAATATTTTATGATTTAGAATAAAATAGTATTCAGTCACTACCAATTATCAAGAACCGAAAACATATACTACTATTGGTTGAATATGACATGCTATACAAAACTTCTTAAATGGAAGAAGGTACAAAATTTTAATAGCATGAGTTTGAATATTATTTTGATTGTTTTGAAAGTTTTAAAGAATAAATCATGTTGTACTTCGATTTATTATACTGTTGGTTAAGGGTAAGACGATGGATTCAAGTTTCATCGCACCAAAAGGTTAAGACACCAGGTTAAAGTCCGGATGCACCATAATGAAAAATATTTGAGGATAAGACGATATATTCAAGTTCTATCGCACCAGAAGGGTAAGACATCAATTAGGGTTTTGATGCATCGTGATTGGGTTCAAGTCCCATAGAATTATGGCGTAACATGCCTTATATAGGTAAGACATTGAGGTTGAGCCAATGAACCATAGCGATGATAAAACGATGACTAAGAAAAATAATATATTTTTGATGAAATGTCTTGAAATTCATCATATTGAATTTCTCAATTCCTTGAAAAGAATGTGGTAGCAACATGTGATAACTCTGAAATCCGCCTGTTGACTTGCTCTATTCAATCATATGAATGTGGTAGTAGTGAATGATTAGTCTGAAAGATGACAAATAATTAATGATATAAATAAGGGCGTGGAGGGACAAAATTATAATAGTCATCATTGTGGTAATGATAAAAGGAAGAACACTATGAGTTCTTCAAATAGTCCTTCAAAATGTGAAGACAATTTTTATTATCAAAATGGTATGAAAGGTCATTAGACTTGTGAACATTGTCAACACAATAATTTGACAAGTTTATAAATCCTCTATCATGATACAAGAAGATAAAGTGATGGTACACTTGATCTTTCAAAGTGATGTTGAGGTGTGTCATGGAAATATGATGAATTTTAAAGCCATGACAATGTGCTTATAATGCAAATTTATGAAGTATATATAAATAACTAGTTCATTCCTTGAAGAGAATGTGAATTGTGATGAGTATCGTGAATACTCGACCATTCTATAAGAGAATAGGTCCAGATGTGATAAAATCATTATAGGTTGGATATATGCCACACCTCACCTCTATGGAAGGTTTGAGAAAAAATGATATATGTCATTTCTCATCTCTACAGGAGATTTGAGAGGAATTAAATTTTATTTGGCAGAAATGGCTAATTGTAATGGTACGTTTTATACGTCACTATGGTATGTTTATTGTGAACTACTGAAAGGGAAAAAGAAAGAAATAGTTCTTGCCTATAAGGATTGATTGTGT